TATTTATTTATTTAAAAAGTATCAGATTATAAAGTATTTATTTATTTATAAAATATAATTTATAATGACCCATATATACCGGTAAAAATACAATTATTATAAATATTTATAAAGTATTATGTGTAAAATATTTTCTTTTTATTATTTATTCTATTATATATCTGTTATTATTTTATATCTATATTATTTATTTATTTAATATAAAATAGTATATTTTATTATAATAATGAAATAATGTGTTATAATAATTACATTGTGTACATTTTTACCCGTCATTAAGTGTACAGTTAGACATGCATATTTATTTATTTAGTAATTTATTTAAATGGTATACTTTTACATTACAAAAATTACATATTTTTAAATTATAATAATTATAAGTAGTGTTAAAAACTGATTTTAATTGCATAGTTCACAATATTTTCAAATCTGCAAAACTTGTGTATTTAAATGAGACATACATATTTATTTATTTCAATAATTATAAATAGTGAAAAATATTATAATTATATCATTTACATTATTTTTTAAATGTGTTTAAATAAAGACACTACAACTGTTTTTAAAAGGGGCTCAAATGTCTGTCCATTGCTAAATGTAAAGTCCTACTGTGATTACAGTACAACACACTATTCTTGGTTTCTCTCCCAAAGTGGTGTGCTCACAGTCACATCCCTGTTTGTCACCACTATTATGCAACTTCTTGCTGGCACCTTAGTTAAGGGTCAGCGGGGTATGGTCCAATCAGAGCCTGCCTGCATCCTGCAATGGTGCTCCATATGGACCACAGGAAAAGCCCTCTGCATCTGTGCTGAGAGAAGTGCTCTATGTCATACCACTAGAACAGCAGCCCTGACCACAGCGAGCAATCAGCCGCAGCCTTACTGACATGCTCCAGCGTGGTGGATGCCAGCAGAGGAACAGGGGTTATCCTTTATAGGGCCCATTTTAGCTGGTAGCATCCTGATTCTGTTTCGGTGTAGTGTGGGCATCTGCAAGCGGGAATGGACTGGATTGACGTCACAAGTGTAACCTTTTACATTGAGCGGGTCAGGTTAAAGCTAATTTAAGAGGTTTGTGGGGGAAGATATCAGTCAGCATTTGAGGAAAGATTGATTATGGCATGGCTTTGTCTATCCCAGGGTTTTATGGTTGTCATGTTATTGCTGTACATGTGTTTTCTATCATCAGCATTGTCTGTTTACTCTTGGCACAGGTGTTGTTTTCACTCACTTGAACATGCTCAGAAAAAAAGTACAAAAGCTGTCGCTGGGGCATTAATTATCCTTTCAAAAAGTCAATGTTGATGGTACACATCAGTTGTACATGTTATACACATGTTATATATAAGCACTTTTTGAAATGGACAGCTTTTGTTTTTCTTCTCTCAACTTATATTACATTTTTTTATCTGGTTTTGTTATATAATGAATGTTAAATAAAAAAAATATTATGACAGTATGATGTTGAACATCTTTAATTTGAGTGTTTTTATCATTTTAATTAAGATGATGTAATTTAAATAATTTTGGTTATATTACATAATATTACCTGGAAGTTTGCTGATGCCCCCTAGTGGGCCCCGGCCCCCAACTGAGAACCACCGTTCTATGGCATATTCATTTGAGAACTAGCAGAAACTATTCAAATAAGGCAGCTGCCTTTGTGGAAACAAACAAACACACAAATCCTCAAAAGAGAACAAAACTACACAAGGTCAAAGAACATATAAGCCAGACTAAATTAAAAAACAGTTCACTTATTATTCAAATAAATTCATACTTCTTTTGTTGTTTATTTAAGAAAAACAAAAACACAGTTTTCCGTGTCATTTAAATGCAAATTAATTTTGCATATTGTTAGGCCTATGCAATTCAAGGTAACATGAAAACATTTTGACAGTTTGATTTTGGGGATTTTTGTTGTTCTTGTTATTGTTTAACATTTTTAGTATCAGTTAGGTCCCCACTTGATGTTCAAAGCCAAATCTGAAGTGAAACTAGTTGAAACCCAGCTGATTACAAAGACCTCTATCTTTGATTTCTGTCCACTGTTTTGAGACGAGATGTCCAGAGAAAGTGATTTCATAAGAATCAGTACCTGACACATGTGAACATCATAACATAGACGATGCTAAATAAATCAAGATGTACTTAGTCATATTCCACAGTCATAAAGATCAAAACCACTTTCCAGTTTTGTATATACAGGAAGCGTACAAAAAGTATGAAGACTGAAGTATACTTGGCATATCATTGGCACCGAGACCTACACAACATCCACTCAGCTCACCACAACATCAGAATAACCTTCTGCACCCAAGAGAAACAGCTGAACCCCATGACATTTAAACTACTATTATTAAAGTACAAAACGTGCCTCCACTTGTCATTTCAGCAATTTTGACCCTATGAAAAGTCAGAAAGCCCTGTCAAACCAGAAAACCTTGTTTGTCTTCTTACCTTGTTTGACAGTGAAGCGATGGTAAATCCCTAAAAGACTCAGAGCAGGGACATTCCAGTGTCCCAGAGGTTTTGTATCTGTGTATGTGTTTGTGTGTTAGTTTGTCAGGCAGTTACTGTAAGTGTCCAACTCGGAGAGTAGCTAACTATACATGTGCTGCCGTCCAACTGAAAGTGCGTCCGAAGCCCGGGGCTAGCTATGGTCACTCAGTTGTTTTGGAGCGCAAAAGATGATGCTTTTTCCTCAGGAAGCCGGCCATCCCCTTTCCTTTCCACCAGCTCCGAGCTTCCCCCACCACCTCTTGGGCCTCTGGGATCATGGGCACTATGGCTCCATTGATTACTCTGAGAAGCGTGGATGCAGTACAGTAGTTTTCTGTTTATTTATTTATTGACTGGCATGGATATGTGTACTTTTGACTAACATGATTGGTCATCATTGGTGTGTGGTGTGAGGGAAGTAGATCTGAGTGTGTAGGAGTCCACTGTCCCGCTCGGCTTTTGTCTGGAGAGTGTTTGTTGATGCTAAACGTCCTAACACATCTGAAGGTGTTTATGGGTTGAAAAAAGCAGGGCAGACTTGCCGGGTTGCTGTGCCCGGGTCAATGAGTGCACCTGCACCGTCTCTGCGTGGGGTAGTTTGTTTGTTTTCTTACAGCAAGACTCAGCATTGTATTAGACCCACGGATCTATAGAGGCTTTGATCAGCACTGTGGTAATCAGTGCTATTCATGTTGTTTACATCATAGGAACAAGCATGATTTTGCTGCTTGAAAGAATTTGCACTGCTCTATCTGAAAAGCAATGTTTCTCTTGGTTTCTTTTATCCCTTTGTTGACAGGCCTCACCGTCGACATGGTATGCTTCTGATATAGCATGTGTTTACAAAATGTTAACTTTGTACAGAGTTAAAAACTGCCATTCATGTGTTTCCATCTTTCAACAAGCAATACTGCTGATTGATTGACTGAGTAGTTGTTTATGAAAGCTGAATAAGAGCTGCAACTGAATGCCAATGTCCGTGAATGAAACTATTACAGTGAAGATATTAAATTATAAAACATCTTCTGTGCTGATTTTTAATAGTAAATGGTTTGTAAGTCAAGTGAAACACATTTATGTTATACAATAACATATACAATAGCTTGTGTAACCAACATATCTTAAAACAGATCCTTGTTATGCACAGATGCATTACTGCCCTCTGCTGTCTTTTTCAGAAGGTGAGAAGATTTTTTTTACAGGATAGCTCAACATATTTTGTTAGATAGATATATCCATAATTTATCCTGAAATTTCTTAATTTATCGTAAAGAAAAAAACACAAACTCATAAATCTGTCATTATTTAAATTTGATTATGTGTGTGAAATTAAAGGGTAGAAAATCAAACCTGCAAAATCAAATACAAGCACAAAACTATTTACATTTATGCATAATAAGTACTTTAGTAAATATAATAATAATAATTAACAGAAGACATACAGTAGATTTATAATTATTTTATTTCATAAAGATATAACGGGCTGTATACAGCATTATTTATTTCTGTGTTCTTTAGCTGGAGTGTTTTTGTTTCATTTAAGATGAAGGGATACCAAAAGATAAATAGCCCATTATTATTTTTTTGCTCAGTTTCACATCATTATAAATACAAAATAAAACAAACAAGTAAAACAAGCAAGGGAAAAAAAAGCGTGGCACTCTGCCACTGTACAAACAAACATACTGGTGAATTATACAAACTAAATACAGAGCTAGACGAGGAAAACTCAAGAATTCATTCAAAATGTGGAGTCATACAATAAATTTGACCAGCTTGAGTAGTTCATATAGTAGCAGCAAACATATTAACAATACCTTATTATTTTGTCACAAATCAGCCTTCATTTCTACTGGGAAAAAAGCTTAAGCTGTCAGTTTTAATTTAATGAAGCATATTAAATTCAGCACTGATATAAGACTTTTTCCTGAAAAATTATTTAATCCTGCAAAATCCAACCACATACATAAACAACACAACAGGGAATTACTGTAACTGATTTGAAATCGAAAAAGCACCTTGCAAAAATCTTTGGTCCATTTGTGGAAAAACTAATTGGTTCAGCAAAATAAAATAAAAATCTAATTTCATGAGAAAAATCCTTTACATGGGTCAGTATTTCAAAGGAAAAACTCTTTAAAATGGCTGTTATGCACTGAACAAATTGTTTTCTCAGGTGACCTAAAAATTCGCTAAATTAACTTTTTACTAAAGCCAAATAAGTTTTTTTTATATTATCAAATAAACCTGACTATATTGGGTTATACCAATGAAAGCAATTTTAAGGGATCAGGTAGAAATAATTATTTAAATGAACAAATACACGTTCATTATGTGAAATCACTTCTACTGTAACAAACCATTACAGACAAATTTATAATTGTTTACAATTTAAAAATTATAAAGACAACTTGTCATAGGTCCATGCAGTGGTTAGTCACTGAGTGTTTTACTCTGAGCTTTAGGCAAGATTTTTACATAAATATGTTTATAGGGTTTTTCTTTCTTTTTTTGTTTTGTTATTTGACAAATTAAAGACAGCAACATGTGCTGCTGATGCCTTGATGTGAAGCGTTTTTAATACAGGAGACTGAAGAGATGTAGATGTTTGAGCAGGTGCTCAGTTTCTCTCAGTGTCAGGAGAGCCCTGGCAATCAGGGAAGATGTGAAGCTGGGGATGTTCAATCCCATTGTTGTGAAGATCTTCTTGTTTCTGCAAACCATGAAGTTTATTCACCAATTCTGTGATGAAGACCTGATGAAGACATGGAGAAAAGCACACCATCAGAGAAGAATCTTTAAAGACATGATAAATATGTCAGTAGTATCTGACTGAAAACAACGCAACTTATAAAAATAAGACCTGAATCGCTTTTAAAAGTATCGACTTGTCAATATAAACTTCTCCAATTTTGTCAACAGAGGGCAGCAAAGGACGATGCAATGGTTGTAGCCCAGATCTAGAGGTTTTAGCTGGTTAGCATGTCTCATTTAGCCCCTACTAGTGGTTGTTGTAACTACATCATCTGGCTATAGAAAGCATGGAGTAAAAATATTTTATTTTTCTGGGTATTATCCCATAACACAAACATGTTTTGACAAATAATTTTGTCTATTCATTAACACTCACTATTTCCTGCATCGTGACAGTGAGTCATTTTTATGTCTACAATAAACTTAAACACTTGCAGGGGGTTATTTCGTTAAAGATAAAACACTAAACCTAAGTGTGGAAATTGTGTGATAGAATTATAACATATGATTAGCAGAAGGGAGGGAGAGAAAAGGGAGGTAGGTGACATACGTCTGTGTTGTTTCCACAGGTATGAAGAATGTCCTACAAGAAACAGAAATAGAGAGATTTTAATAAAGAGCATGACACAGATCGTGTCCCTGCTGAAAATTGTATTTTTAATGGTTGGATGGTTAATGCTGGTTTGATTCTGTTCTTGCAACCAAAGAGATCTTGCTAGTTAACGGAATAGTTCTTTAAATATATTCATTTTTTTCTAAAACCCTATGGGTTTCGAACTTATGTGGAAAACAAAAGAAGAAATTTAAGAAGAAGAAGAAATTGCTCATAAAAGTAGTTCATATGATTCATATTTCAGGGGGAACTGTTCCTTTAAACTAATTAAATAAAACCACATACTGGTGACCAGTAGGTGACCGCATCAGTAGTTTCAGAAAGCAGATACCTTAAGCTTCTGCATCCTTTCTTCATCACTTTGTAGATCTAGTAGCTCGTCAATGTTCACTTCTTCTGGCATATCCTCTTCCTGTGAGGAGAGAAACAGTCACATTTAAAGGGGTCATATGATGCCTTTCTCTTTGGAGTGTTACAAGCTCTTGGTGCATAAAGAAGATCTGTAAAGTTGCAAAGACTAAAGTCTCAAATCCAAAGAGATATTCTTTATAAAAGTTAAGCGTCAACCACGCCTACCTAAAACGGCTCGTTCTAACACGCCCCCACATGTCTACGTCACGATGTGGGAAGATTTTCATAGCGCCACCCAAATGTTCACGCAAAAAAAGAAGGCGTAACTTTTATTCTCGCTGTAGTTTTGTTGTTGCCGCTGCCGCCATGTCGCCATGTTTTTGCTGGCCCTTTGTTAATATTATTAGAAAATAGTAGAAAGATTAGTTTAAATTGTTATGCTGATGATACTCAACTATATATTTCAACAAGACCAAATGAAATTTCTAAATTGTCTAAGCTAATAGAGTGTATTAAAGATATAAAAGATTGGATGACCAATAATTTTCTTCTATTCATTTTGATTAAGCCTTTTCGCATTTGGCTCCTAAACTCTGGAACAGCCTTGCTCATATTGTTCGGGGCTCAGACACACTCTCTCTGTTTAAATGTAGAGTAAAGACACATTTCTTAAGCCAAGCATTTACATAATTCATCTAATAACCTTGTACTCCAGTTATATCTAATCAAATGCATATTATCATTCCTTGCTTGAAATGTTATGAACAGTAGCTACGCTAATTATTCTCTATCTGGGAATCCCAAGGTAACTAGAGATTACACAAGATTCAGTCTGGATCCAGCCTCTTATGAAGATTTGAGATGACCCAACACCTGAGTAGAGATGACGCCAACCCTCCGAGGACTTCAGATGACCAACCTTGAACCGATATACAAAACTACCACATTGTCCTTACATTACTATCATTATGAACACAACATATAATCATTGTTGTTAATCATGTTCACCATCTGTTTGAATGCATGTCATTAACTAACTGCATGATTTGTACTATCAAAGAACTGTACATCTCTGCCATATGGATATCACTTTGACATAGTCACCACTGATAAATTGCTCTTAACTGCAATGTAGAAACATTCTTTTTCTGTGAAGCTGCATTGCAATGATGTGTATCATGAAACACATTATACAAATAAACATGAATTGAAAGAAATGTGAATTGAATTTCGAGATTCTCGATCTCTGCTATTTACTGTCAATTACCAAAATAGTTTGTTAGTGAGCACCACTAAGTTGAAATTTTATGTAACAGCAGCATCTCCGCATGTGACAAAAAGCACAAATCTTATTGGCTGGCCAGTGTTTTTCGCAGTGCGATTGAAAAGAGAGAACACTTTTCCAACATTCTCCATAATTAATAATTATATTTTAGAATACATTTTTGTAATTAATTAATTAATTAATTAATTAATTAATTAATTAATGTATTTATTTATTTATTTGCACCGACAGCATGCAAATGTCTGTGTTGATCTGAACAGATACTGTACTAACAGCCGCTCATGCAAATTAAGGCACAGTCATATTTTTGTGAAATTTTGCAGACACTGTCCATTGTCAATAGTTTCGCAATGCATGAAGCACCATTTACTCAGAGGTCACTTGAAACCCAGCAGCTTTATATTGGTAAACACTGTGAATTTGCATGTTAAAAATTCAAATTTAAACCAGCTGTGAAATTTGTATGGGAACATTTGTGGGTAATATCCCTTATGTAAAATTCCAGAATGATGAAGACCAGAAATGCAAGCTCATGTGAAGAAGTCTTTCATTAGGCTGCTTTCCAAAATTCAAGTTTGAATGTGTGTCTAACAGAAGATCAATACGTCACGTGACCTCTTAGCAGAATTAAAAGAACACAAACTTTAAAGCTGCAGGTTTGCAGCATTGCAGGAAGGTGAAGTAGAGCGTATATTTTTTAATTTAGTATTTATTATTGGTTATATGCTGATTTTATTTATTTTTTTTAAAAGACACTACAGCGTATGATGTCATATCACAACCATTTCAAGAAATTTAGCATGCTCAAAGTCTAGTGTAACCAACACTTAATTCACTCATGGTATTGCACCATACAAAGCTAAATGTGGCACTCTTAAAATGCATATAGCAGTGAATTTCTGCACCAAAAATTTGTCTAGGTGTGAAAAGACCTTTACGTTTAAACCTTACTTTTCATGTAGTGCATATATCCTAAATCCGACAGGCATCATTTACACTTTTATTTTAAATATTTAGTTCTGGATCTTTACCTGCTCATTATTGGTAAAAAAAAAAAAAAACATGATAAAGTATGCTAAAATCTGACTACATCATTAATGCATTAACTATTAGTGTGAACAGAGCATTTACAATTAGACTTAATCCAGGACTTAATAAAAGAAACTCACAACTGTTACATGCTCTTGTAAACAGAACAGTTGCATTAGATATGCACATTCAGATGTATTCTCACTTGACTGCCCACCACATAAATCAATGAATCCCCTGCTAAGTTGTCTCTAAATGTTAGAAGTCATACTAAATGAGAACAGTGATGAAATCAGATGGTGCCATAGCATACAGGTCCACACAGCATTATAGAGCTCGAATCAAAGTATTATCTCTTGCTCCATTCAGCAGCTGTCAATCTACCAGACAGCTGTCACTCAGCACTAATCTATTGTGTGGGAATTAACAAGTCCCGCCCTTCCCTTTTATTCAAACCACCTCAAATACACTTCCAGATAAAGCAGACTACTTATTTACGATACTAAGTGTCTGCATTGATTTTAAAATCGTAACTGCAGTGGAAAAATAATTTCTAATAATAGGAAATGGTGTACCTGAAAAAATACAATATATTATTTCTATCTATTATACATTTCTGCCATATGTATATTAACTGACAGTCACCACTGATAAGCTACCACTAAATATTGTAGAAACTTAATTTGCTGTAAAGTTGCTTTGCAACGATTTGTATCGTGAAAAGCGCTATACAAATAAACTTGACTTGAATTGAATTGAATTATTTATGATACACACCTCTGTTTCAAGAATGATGCAATTTTCACTTCCCTTTCTATTGTGGCTTGGTGCCTTCGAAAATAGGCCAAGGTCAATTTTCAGATCCTTCCAGTAAATCATTTACAAAAACAAAAATCAAGCTTGAAACCTGCCACCCTCCAGAAAAGCAGAATGAAAACATCACAGCATATTTTCTTTTAATATATGCCAATCTGCTAATTTATTTGATCCCTTGATGACCTCTGTGCTTGATCTTAAGCACAAAGGCTGTGATTTGATACAAATTCACTGAAAATCAATTTGCAATGTTTGTAAGAAAAGTATTAATGTCTGATTAATTAACAAAACGCTCAGAACAGGTTCAGATGATTCATGGAAAAGATTTGAATCAAGAGATTTCAGTTGTATGAACCACTATTATGATACATCTGTGGTGCTTTTGGAATCTTTTTTTTGACCAGTACAATTCTTTTGTTGTTCCACAGAAGACAGAAAGTCAAACAGGTCTGAAACAACACAACAAATTTTTGATTTAAATGAATAGTTCACCCAAAAATGAAAATTTACTCACCCTGTTTTGAATAGTTTTTGGACTGTTTTCGCTTGTAAACGGTGCTTGATCTGTGCATATTTCTCTCCTGATTCAGACAAAATGACTTTTTCACTGGAGAAAGCAATATTATGGATAGAGGACATTTTTGCGGAAGAAACTTTGAAGTTTAAAATATAAATCCAGCCTTGATTTACATTTGTAAATCCAGCCTTGTATATTATAAACATGTAGCTTTTCACTTCACATGGCATTAACTGATGGTTTGGAATCATGTGGGTTACTTGTGGATTACAGTGATATGTTTTTCAGCTGTTTGGAGTCTCATTCTGACAGCACCCATTCACTACAGAGGATCAATTGGTGAGCATGTGATGACAAGTACAAACTCATCTTGGATTTGAAAATTTGTATTTTTGGGTGAACTATTCCTTTAAGGATGAACTATCGCATTAATCACAAAAACTAACTAGAACTGATATGACCTAAACTAACTCACAACATAGAATGTGGTGGGATTCAGTCTAAACTTACCAATTTAACACCAAGAACTACAACTGCGTTAAAATTATTACCAAAGCTCCAAATTTCCATCAGCATGGTGTAAATCCACACAGCAGATTATGAGCTGGTCATGCAAGCCAGCGTGTTTCCTGATAAGGTTACGGATAACTACAGGGAACAGGGCTGCATGGGAAAACTTTCAATATCCTGAAACTAACACCACCGTTGAAAGGTCAATCAGAGAAAGATCCATGCTGAAAGCCCTACCAGGGCATCAGTGACCTTTCTTTTAACTCCAAATGCCACTGAAATGCTGTGAAACAAACATAACCCTTCACATGCTGAACATACAGAGCAAACATATATGTGCCTTTGCTTTTGAGTCATTCCTAAGCAGAGAAGGTTTGCACATTCAATGGAAAACTGAAAATTAGTATATCAAATATTATTTTAGACATAAATTCCTTAAAAAAAATAAAGAAAAGAACTACACAATTCATCAAATATGCAACGGAGAATGCTTTTCAATAATCAATAATCTTGAATATTTATATGTGTAAATATTCTTGTCAATTTTGGTTGGTCATGGATTATTTAAAGCTTGTCTCTGTAGTAATTCCCCAAAAACTCAAAACATTTCTTCTGACGAAACATGAGTTCTTTCACCTTTTACTGCATGCATGAGCGCTGAGTGAATCACTCAAACTGGTTTAGCATCAGTCGGTCCCCCTGGGCTGTGATTCAGTCTCTATTAATTCCAGGCCAGTAGCTAATGGGTAAGAGTGTGTTTTTTTCCTGTACTCTTTGAGTTGGGCTGTTTCTTTTCTTCTAAGTTTCTATGCCTTATTAACAGCAATGACCCTAATGCAAATGCCCATCTCCTGTGGCTTTCTGCAGGCATTTATATTTGGAATGGAAGACTGAGAATGTGACG